TGCTATGCATTGGAGAGTTGGACAGTGAATAGGGATGACAGAAAGAGAATTGATGCCTTTGAACTGTGATACTGTGTTCTATTCTGGAGAATGTTCCATGCACATTGAAGAAGTTATACTGCACTTTCTTGGGGTGCACTAGTATGTATACATCTCTGAGTTTGAGTTGTTATCTTGTGTGGTTTAAGTCTTCAGCATCTTTGTTGGGTTTCTTACTGGTAGTTTTGTATTGAAGTCTACTACTGTATGGTGGTGTCTATTTCTTTTTCCAGTTTTGTTAATGTTTGCTTTATATATTTTGCAGCTCTAACATTTGGTGCATAGATATTTCTTATGGTTATGTCCTTTGTTCTTTTGACCCTTTAAGCATTATATAGTGACTTTCCTTGTCCTTTGTGGTGGTTATTACATTCAAATCTATTTTATCAGAGATTAATATTGCTACTTCTGCTTTTTTCTGGTTGCCATTTACTTGATACATTTTCTACCTTTTTATTTTTAGTCTTTATTTATCTTTACTTTTTGAATGTGTCTCTTATAGACAGCATATTGATGAGTTTGTTGGTTTTGTTTTGTTGTTTTTTTTAATCCAATCTACTACTCTTTTTCTCTTCTGTAGTGCATTTAAACTATTCACATTCATGAGAGGCAAAGTTTTATTGCTATTATTTTCTTGAGTTCTTTTTGTTGTTGCTGGTTACTTTGGTTCATTCTGCTTTCTGTGGCATCTCTGTAAGAAGGACTTCTCTCAGTGTTTCCTGCAACACTGGTCTTAATTTTACAAACTCCCTTAGATTCTGCTTTTCTGAGACTATCTGGATCTCTCCTTCATAGTTGATGGACAGTTTTGCTGAGGACAGTATTCTTGGTTGACCGTTGTATTCTTTGAGTGATATATATTTCCACTGTCTTCTTGCTCACATGGTTTCTGTAGAAATCAGCATTTAATCTTATTTGCTGTCCCTGATAGGTTATTCTTTTTTTCTCCCTAGGTGCTTTCAGAATTCTTCTCTTTGGTTCTGGAAAATTGGACTATGATATGTCTTGGTGTTTTTATTTTGGAGTCTATTCTATGTGGTGTTTGCTCAGCTTCTTAAATATATATGCTCTCATTATTCATTAAGCCTGGAACGTTTTCTTCTAGTAATTCTTCCACAACTTTCTCCATGCCTTTACTTGCTTTTCCTGTTCTGGGATTCTGATTATGCACATGTTTTTCTGCTGGATGGTGTCTCACATTATTTTTAGGCTTTCTTCTTTTTCCTTCTTTCCCCCCTCCCCTACTTTTTGTTCTAGCAGATCAGGAGTGTTAATTCTGTCTTCTATTTCAGTGCTTTTGTGTTCAATGTTTTAAAATCTCTTCATATTTCCTTCCATTATGTTGACAACTTCTGAAAGATTGGTCTTATATTCTGAGCTGCAGAACTGTCTCCTACTGGACAACATTCCCAGAATATGTGAGAGAAAGTTTTCACTGTCCTTACCTCTAAGGATCATATTGGTTATACTTCTAAAATTCTTCAAAACTTGTGTTTTTTTGTGAGTTTATGGAATATTCTATAGTTTTCTCCAAAACCATAATTCAAGGACATTGACTCTTTGTCTGTCTTCCTTATTCATGGTCCAAATATATTTATCCAACATTTTTGTCAAATAATAAGTACTTTCAGATGCCTGTGAAGCAATTTGGAGAGGTCCTTGATAGTAGATGTCCTCAATGCAACAGGTCTTTTTATTTCTGACTGTTTATACCATGAGTATTAACTGTGGACCCAGGTAAAATGAAGTATTTTGACAACTTCAATGTTTGCTACATCTATTATGATGTAACCCATAGGTCCAATGGTAAAGATACTTGTTTTCTAAATATTGTTATGTAATCCATTATCTTCTTCAGTAAATACTTGACGTTTTGTTCACCTTCTGTAAGCAAAGTTTTGTCATCTATAATACTATTTTTTATATTATTACCCCACCTTATCATATATGATATACTAATCTTGAACATACCATGGACTGCCAATATAACAATTAAGTCTGTCTTGGAGAGGGTGAAACCAAATCTCTTCTTGGAGACCAGGATTTTGAAACTCCACCTCTCTTATTTTGGGCATAAGGTCAGGAGAGATCGGTTCTTAGAGAAGGACATCATGCTTAGAAGAGTGGAAGGACAGTGCAGGAGAGAGAGACTTCAGATGAGATGGATTGATACAGTAACTGGGGCAATAGAGGTTGGTGTGTTGGAACTGGTGAGACTGGCTCAGGACAGAGAAAGGTTCAGCGCTGCTATACAAAGGGTCATTATATATCACAGGCAAGTTAATGGCACATAACAACAATAACATACTATGACATGTTTGGAAGCAGGAGTAGCATCTACTTCCTAACGTCTGGAAATTCTATGAACTTTTGGATAAATGTCGATAGTTGTAGAGGGCCTTCAGCCCTTTTGTTCATACGTTGCTATGAGTCGTGCTCGAGTTGAAGACAATCAACAACTACAACATTGTAAATTAAACAAACCACATCTATGTGTCTGTTTAATTTAGGGATCCTTTTTATTATAAGACACTGCAATTGGAAAGGCACAAGATTTGAATCACAAGCTACTCCAGCAGGAGTAGGATGGACATTCTCCTCTCTCCGGTGTGATTTACTGTCTCTGAAAACCTGATCTGACTTGAAGGTATCCAGTGACAACAACAAATGGACTTTTGGTGGACTTATGCATAAATTTACACATCTGAAAAAAATATTTTCACAATTTTGGATCACCATTGATGCTGTTGATTTTTTTTCTTCAGAAAAAGAAGAGGAGACTAAACCCATGCCTTGGGAGCTATAATTAATTCCCTAAAGACTTCATTTATTGCAAAATCCATACCTGAAAACCACATTTTTAATATTTATAGCCACCAAATAACTGCTTCCTCAAATTTATTAATAGTTCATTAATATTTACTGAGCATACAAACATTGTTTACAGAGTACTTCCCACTACTATTCTGCAAAAATGTCAGATAAGGGTTTCATTGTGGCATATTTGTATACTTCATTAATTAATATGCATGTTGCAAAAGACAGTTATGTGGATCGCAGCTCTGGATTCATAATTGAGTTCAGCAGCTGCCTCTGTTTTGATATACACAGATGTGTGAATCAAGACGCTGGACGAAAAAAATGTTAAAGGAGTCTTAATTATTTAAACAATTTTGTGTAATTGTTACTCAGTTGTGCACTAGGTTTATGTAAATGTCATTCAATTTATTGCTGAAGTTTACATTTTCTTATAAGGGCTCCTATTTCCTTCTATTTCCAGATCGCTATATCATACTTGGCAGCCATCACCACACTGCGTACGGTTATAAAGCACAAGAATGGGCCAGTGGTACAGTCATAACCACAGCGTTCATCCAGGCCTTGATGTTGAGAGTTAAGAAAGGGTGGAGGCCACACAGAACTATTGTTTTCTGTTCATGGGGAGGAACATCTTTTGGCAACATTGGCTCATTCGAGTGGGGAGAGGTAAATGAAAATGTTCAGTAATTATTATGCTTTCATTTTTTTCCCTGTTAAAGAAACAAAGGGAAACTGTTGACACTGTGTGGAAGAATGTCCTTCTCAACATAGGTGTCATAGCTGCTAATTTGCTGCTTACAAGAAAAGAGGAAAGAGTATAGTTAGAAAAGAGGAAAGTGTGTAAACTCTGGAACTGTTCAAGTGTTGTCAGCAACCCCACGACCTCTGGTACCCCCACAACAGTATTTAACTGCTAATTGTGACTCACTTTATTTTTTTTTTTTACCAAGATTTAATGTACATTTATTCTTAACACGTGGAACATATAGTATAAAGATTTCATACTGAATAAATAATATTCATTAAGCCAAAAAAGGAAAAAAAGGAGGAATTTACATCAAGTTTTAGCTACATTGTTTGAAATACAAATATGCAGATTTTATCACTGAAAAAATCTCAATTGTGTTTCTTCATCAGGAACTTCAACTGAACCTAAAACTTTTTCACACCTCGATTAGAAAGAAAATAAAACAAAACAAAAACCC